CATCTTCCTTCCAGAATGATTTGATATTTTTCATTCTGCTATATTAACTCCAGATAATTTTGCAATCTGATTCATAAAAGAATTTAATCTTTTATATCTGATATGTTTTTTTTAAACCATATTCCTGATTGTAATGCTAATAATAGATTAGTTTAAATAGGATATTAAATAATAATTATTATTAAATACTAACCAAATTTTTCATCATTTTCTTGTAAATAAAAATTATTATCACAATTGTTTGGTCTCATATCAAAGTATTTTTCATAATCATTAATAATTTCTTGTTGATTTGGTAATATTAGATAATCTGCTTTACCTTTATTGGATATAAACCCTTATTAGTTTGTTTTTGATCTATAAATGATAACATCATACCCACTATCATTTCTTTTTTTAAAATTAGAAGCATTTAATAAATGGTGTTCACCACCACACAATTCTAATAAGCAAACATTAAAAAGAATAGCCTTCTTAAAAAACGTAATGGTGTAAATCCATCTATATATTTATATGATAATATTTGTTGAACCTCTTCATCAGTAAATGCATCAGCACCTTTTACTTCTCCATGACCTAAATCAGTAAAAAAATTTACTTTACCACTCACTACTTTAACAAAAGAATGAAATGCTAATAAATTATATAAATCAATTTTTCAATTTTTGAATGTCTTTGCAAATATCTATTAATAGCTGTAATAGCAGCATGAATTGAGTTTACTGAATATTCTTCTCTATTATTCTTTTTCATTGATGCAATATAAGCACATAATTGTTGTTTCAATTCTTTTTTATTATAAATATTCTCTATTTTACCTTTATATTGAGAAGATTGTCGAAAATTTTCCAATTGACTTATCTAATTACTAGTAACAACTTCAGTATTTTTTACTTTTGAAAATTTGCGAAAAAATTCAACATTTTTATTCTTTTTTAAAGAAAATTTTATTTATTAAGGAAATTATTATAAAATAATAATACAATTTAAAAACTTACATTAATATTAAAAAAATTTTTATTTTTATCATGTTGCACTTTTGAAATAAGCAAGAAGAAGCAAAGCAAAAGAAAAAATAATTTTTTTTTTCAATTACGATAAATTTTACTAATATGTACAGTTACATCATATATACTAATATGTACATCAATTAAATTATTGACGCAATAACTATTATTTAATAAATTATAGTATGATTTTGTCTGACTGACGCAATAAACTAGTTATTGGTTATGGTGGATAAAATATCATATCACCCTTTTGGGGTGACCGATATTTTACCCTTCCTAACCAATAACTATTATATAAATTCTCTAAATCATAATTATATTCCCTCTCTTTAATAAAGTTCTAAAGCTATTCTTTTTATAAGAAACTTAATAATATAAATAAATAAAATAATAAATAATAAAAATAAGAAATATAATAATTATTCTTTCATTATATACTTGTTATATATTATATATATAGCAGATTTAGTCAATCTGATAGATTTAGTTAATCTGGCAAATTTTAAGAATCTACCAGTTTTGGCTGATTAAATAGATTTTAAGGATCAGTTTTGGCTGATTGAATAGATTTTGTGACAAAGTAAAAATCATAGATCTATAAGGTAGCTTTTTAAGTTATTACAATGCAATTATTTTAATTGATCTAAGAAATAAATATTAACAATCATTTGTGATTTTTTTTGTGTTTCAAAACAATCATATAACATATATAAAAGATACTTTATAGCATTTTTTATCCTTTGCAATTTTATAGAAATTTATGATTTATTTATCTATTGAAAAAAAAGTAAGAATTTATATTTTATTTGAAGAATGTTATCTCTTTTGCTATATAGTAACTATGGAAAATATTTTTTAATCAACTATAATAAAAATAAGCAATATAATGATTAAACTGATAACTTTAAAGATTAGCTTAAATTTAGACGTTTGTAACTCTTAATTGGCCAATATAAACAAAATGTTCTAAAACTAATTACAACTGATAAATATACTAATACTGCAATTCAAAAAATACTAAAAATAGAAGAATAAATTGAAATTAGTAAATATATAATTAAAAGAACATTATATAAAAATGAAATAAATGCAAGAGTTAAATGAAAAAAGCTATACCTTTAAAAAAATCATAAAATTGCACATATGAAATTTGCTAAAAAATACAAATTATAAATAGCATACTATTAGAATAAAGTTATCTAGTAGATAAGTCAAAATTCATGATTTATAAGTCAAATAGTAGAGAATATTGTTAGAAAAAACCAAATAAACCATTATATAATTATCATATTAAACTAATAGCCAAATTTGGATAGGATAATATTATGATGTAAGGATGCTTTACTTCTGGTGGGATTAATAATATATGCTAAATTTATAGATATATGAATGATGATTTATATCATTAAATTTTAAAGAAAACCCTTTTAAGAACTATTAAATATATTAAATAGCATAGAATAAATAAAGATAATATTATCTTTTAATAAGATAATAATTCTAAACACATTGCAAATCTTACTAAGCAATAGTTTGATAATAATAAAATTAAAGTTCTTAATTGACTAATATAGTTTTCTGATTTAAACCTAATAAAACACTTTTAAAATGAAATAGATCATTATCTGAGATAGCTTAAAATACCTGTTAAAATAAAGGATCATTTGTAAAATTCAGTTCAAAAAATTTGGGTTGAATTATAATTTGATATATATAAAAAGTTGGTTGATACTATGCTAACTCGTATAAATGATATAATTAAAACTAATAATAGTTATACAAAATGATAAATAATTATTTACTAGAATTTTAATGCAATTGAAACAATTTTTATTTTTTTATTTACATAAAAATTTTATAAAAATTGATCAAAAAAAAAGGATTGTGTAAATAATCAAAATCAAGTATTTAAAATTTTTTTATCATATTATTATATAATTATTTTTATAATATTGAATAGACTCATTATGATGAGTCTAATAAATAATTTTAGTAATATTACACCTTTTTAATTACAAGATAATGCTATTTTAAAATTTGTATTCAGATAATACAATATTTTTAAGCATCATTATATATACTAATTAAATTATTTTTAATATAAAAATTATAATAATAAATGATTTCTTTTAATAAATTATAATTAATATAGCTAAAAATAAAATTTTAATAAGATTGTTATAGATTAATAATAAAATTTTTTATATTATAATTACAAATTTTAATTTCTAAATAAACTTATAGTAATTTCTATTTACTGTATGATAAAAATTTATATTTATAAAAATAAGTCAGAAGGAAATTCTATAGTAAATTTACCTTTAAATCTTTATAAACTAAAGGATTTTTAGGATTATAACTTATAATATTATGATATTATGAAACAAAGGCCATAAGAGTTTGGGTTAAATGTAAACATATTAAGAAAATTTATTAATAACAATTTTTGTCAAATTTTTTTTTTTTTTTTTATATATGGAAAGATCGCTAGGAAAAGTTACAAGTATAAAGGTTTTAATTCATTCATGCTTATACTGTATACATATATAAATTTAAAGTGAAAATCACCAGATAACCCTTTTATAAACGTTTGTTCGATCTTTATATGTAAATTTCTTTGAAATTAAATAAAATTTGCTATTGAACTTCGAGTATAGATCAAACAATACATTTTTCATTGGATTTACCATTTTTAATGCATCCAAATAATGTTTACTCAACCTCCTTATAATGCTGTGACTTGATACAGTCAGACCTCTATATACCGATATTCTATATGCCGATATACTATTAAAAACTTTATATACCGATAAAATGTTATTTACCCACTATACTTGAGGTCATATAAATATCGGTATAATTTGATATAACGATATTTTTTAAAAAAAAATTCTATATAGAGTTTGATTGTATATCACCAATTTAGATGATCAACGGAATAAATGCACCTTTTTGTGTAATCAATTTTTACTCAAAATTTTTTGCATGCATAAATAAAATTACTTTGTTTACTAAATAAATTTATATGGAAATGTACATTGTTAAAGATTATTTAGATTATTTAAAACGGATTTTTTAATTGTTTTAATTATTTAAATGAGATGATCATCGTGTCCAATGCCGATTATTTTCCTTATTTTTTTTTCATTATTGTGGATCTAATTAAATAAAAATCAAAAGTTAAAAGGCAATAATGAGCGTAAAATGATAAATTTAAATAGAATCTTCAATTGAAATATAAGAATTTTCAATTGAATTACTATATATTTATTATTCTTTGGAGATCCATAAAGTTTAGTATTGGTATTTAAATTGGTAAAAACGAATTTCAACCCGAAAGGAATGGTTCAAAATGGTAAAAGTTTCTTGATACGCGTCTTGTTTGAAAATGTCCGTATCACGTATGACGAATTTAGATAATTATTTTTATGATATTTATTACTATAAATGTAATGGTTCATTTAAAATATGTACATTTATGGTTAACCAAATACCAAAAATATACATGCTGTATATATTTATATCTAATTGTGCTTTTTTATCGATGCATATATATTTAATACCTCTCATTTTTCCCGTCTTACTTGATTACTGCCGTCTCCCAAGCGGAAGTTTCATTAACGACGAAACACTTTCGGTTTTATTATTTATAATATTTTTTTTTTTCAGAACCAAGTAAATAAGAAAACATACATAAGACTTTAACGTTTTTATTTAAAAAGTTTTCTATTTAAAGTTGAATAAATATGAAAAGTAATAATAGGAAGAATATAATATTAAGAAAGAAAAATTATGTATTTTATAATATAATAATAATATTGTTGTTGTTTAGTATATTTACAACAGTTTCGGCGCAAGGAACTAATATAGAGAGAGAAGGAGAATTTCTGGGAATAGAAAGGGAAGGAGTAGATTTACCCCCGGAAATTGTAATAGAAAGAGAAGGAGAAGATTTACCTCTACCACCACCACCACCAATAAATATTACTTATGAAGACCCGTACGCCAATAAAAGTAAGTTTAATTAATCCCTTTTTAAAAGAAAGTTATGATGACACTCAGTTAATAACTATTGCATATTTGACAATAGCAAGAGGAAATGATTATCCATTAGATGCTGCTAGTTATTTAACCGGATTAACGTTAATAATGTCGGGAGTTGTAATCTTATTTCGAGGAAATAAGTACAAGTGGTTATCGATATTTCTGGCCGCATTCTATGGAATAAGTATGTATGCCACACGATATGATAAAATACAACTTCTATAATTTATTTGAATCAATTTAATTATTAAAGCCACTTGTTTTTTTTTCATATTTTAAACCTTTTTTAAAGAAAATTTCTAATAATCCTTTTTTTTTTTTTTTTTTTTGATATAGGTATGATATTATTATTATTTATTTTAAAATATCAAAATGTAACGAATCCATCTTCAACATTAAGATTTGTTTATTTTGTTATATGTACTGGAGCTGGAGCAGCCGCGGGAATATTCTTTGTGTGTTTATGGCCAACAGGTAGAATATTAGTAGGAGGACTTGGTGGTTTTTCGCTGGCGATGATCTGCTTATCAACTAGAACCAATGGTTTAATATCAAATCAATTAATTAGATATATATGGATTGGAATATGTACAATATTAAATGCGACGCTAGCGGGTATACAACGATTTTATCAATATGTTGCAATTATATCGACAGTTATGTCGGGATGTTATTTACTTATGCTGGGAACGGATGTATTCGTACGGGGGGGAATGTTAGCATCGTTTAAAACCTTTTGGGGTTATAATCAACCCGAAGATTATTTATATATTGTTGATACAAATGTTATTATTATTTTGAGTACGATTGGATTTGTTGGTGGTACATTTGGTATTGGAGCTCAATTATTAGAATTATGGATGAATCAAAGACGTGAAGATATTATTATCGATGATGATCAAATGACTATGACTTCAACTAATGAGAAATCTGACTTAATTGGTTCTTTTACAAAAAAATTGAAAGGTACATTTAAAAAGGGTATATAATACTTCCATGAACAATTTTCGCAAAGCGAGACGAAAATATAATCGTTACATTTTGTAAAAACAAAAAAAAAATCACTTTTTTAATATTTAACATTTGTAATAATACAACAAACAGTATTTGAAGAACCAAAAAGTATTTATTTATTTAATTATTATTTAATTATCTTTTTTTACGATTTTGTAAAACCTTAACAGTTACTTATGGCCATAAGTGACGTAAAATAAATTTTGTATCGCAAATTTTATATGATTCATTGAGCAATGTTACATAGGATGCTTCAATTAAAGATATTTTAAATTGTCTGAACACGCTATATCCTTCTCGTGTAGCATTTTTATTTTATTACCAACTAGATTCTTTTTTTTTAACGTTGTATGAAAGTAATCCTTATCAAGATTCCCTGAATTGACATTTGAAAAAAGAATTTATTCCGGTGTAATGCTATATAACCTAATTTCGCTTTATTTTTTTATGAATTTGGTGATCTTTCACTTAAAAGTGGAAGAATTAATACAAATACTGTAAGTATAACGTAATGTAGACTTTCTTTGATATAATCCCTGATTAATTACCTAGGTTTTTGTTAAATTCTTCGACTAGTTCCATGATTCCTTCAGCAGTTGTCATTATTGGTTGATCTTAAACAAGGTCATAAAATCGGGTCACTTCTTCTTTGTTTGAAAATGATGAATGAAATTTTTAATCATTTGTTAGAAAAATATTGATGTTTAAAATTCAAATAAGTTATTGATTATAATGGTTAGTTTAAGTTTTCCATTCTTCTGATGTGCATTATTTTTACATTTAGAAACGTTGCTTCCAGCCAATTTTTAATCAAGTTATTTTTCACTTCGCAAATCTTGTCTCCGGCGAAAAAAAACCTCTGACGTACAACAAAGAGAAAGTGCTCTATCACCTATTAACATGGGTTTTAATAAAATTCCAGAATAGTGTAAAAAAGCCTACCACCAACAAGTGATGGAAGGAAAAAAGCCTATTACTAGCCAGGGATGGAAGGAAAAGCCTACCACTAACGAGTGATAGAAGGAAAAGCTCTCTCACGAAATTTCAAAAAAATAAAGGAAGGTGCATAATCAATCCCTCCTTCAGGATCAATAGACCTTTATTAATCAAAGAAGTATCGCACAAAAGAAGAGAAGCCTACCACCAACAAGTGATGGAAGGAAAAAAGCCTATCACTAGCCAGGGATGGAAGGAAAAGCTTATCATCAACAAGTAATTGAGAAAAAAGCCTACTACCAATAAGTAATGAAAGAAAAAAAGCATATCACCAACGAGTAATGGAAGGAAAAAAACCTACCACCAACGAGTAATAGAAGGAAAAGCCTTATTACCAACAAGTGATGGAAGAAAAAAAGCCTTTACCAGCCAAAGATAGAAGAAAAAGCCTATCACCAACAAGTGATGAAAGGAAAAAAGCCTATCACCAATAAGTGATGGAAGGAAAAAGCCTATCACTAACAAGTAATGGAAGAAAATATCTATCACCAACAAGTGATGAAAGGAAAAAAAGCTTATCACCAATAAGTAATGGAAAGAAAAGCTCTTCTTATGAAATTTCAAAAAATAAAGGAAGATACGTAATCAATTCCTTCTTTAGGATCAATAGATCTTTATGAATCAAACAAGCCTTATATAAAAGAAGAGAAATGTTTGAATTTTAATAATACTTGTATTTGAGAATACAAGTATTTTTATAAAATAAGAAAAAAATAAATAAATTAACTAAAAAAAATAAAAAAAGATTTCAAAATATTGGTGGATTTCAAAGTTGTAAACTAATAAAATAACAAACACACATGATTGTAATCTATCTTATTTTAATAATACATATCCTTTATCACTTGTGATTCTATTTTTAGTAGTCTATCTTATTTATTCAAAACCAACATTTACCTGTGAGCCAAAAATAATGAGTAATAAAATATTTATTACCAATAAATACTGATAAATGGTTAAATAAACTCAAGCAGAATTTTTTTTCACAATTTGTTATTTAATTATTCAAATCTTTTTTTATAAATATTCTCGTTAATAATCTTTATGTAATGTGTGAAAATAATAACTTGGCAATAAATATTATACAGACCAATTATAAGTCAGACTGCAATTTATTTATTTTGACTTATATTGAAATCAAGGACAATGATTTATGGTATTTTGCAAAATATCACAAATGTTATAAAATTTTGTAATAAACATAAAATTTCCTATCATCATCACATAATATCACAAAATTGTTTGACCTATTATTTGTATACATAATTATACACAATTATGCATAATAAAATACATAATGTATAATATAGATAATTTTTTAAAATATTTGTAAATCCATTAAGCTATAAGTAGTAAAATCATAGAAATTATAAATAACTTTGTTTTTTGTTTAAATAGTACTTAAATGAAAAGTCGATTTTATAACAGCTCATACATGAATTGATGAATACAGAGAATTATTTCACATTAATAATAGTTTACTTTTTTGTAATTATTGTGACCTTTCAGTAGAATGGAAACATAAATCAACAATAGATGCATTGATGCAAGTAAAAAACATCTTTTACAAAAAAATTTTGAAACAAATAAAAAAGTTAAAAACCAACAAATATTACAAACAACTTTACTTGCCTAAGAATCAATAAAAGTAATGATAGAAGATTTCATAAAAGCATTTGCTAATGCAAATATTCTATAAGAAAAATGAATCACTTATTTTTTTTTTAAAAAGCATCTAAAAGAAGAAGAAGCAATTCTATAAGCACTAACTTTACGTCAATTATACTTGCCTAGAGTTTTTACAAACATGTTGATACTTTAAAATTAATTTTTAATGCTAAATCTATTTGTATTATTATGGATGAAAGCAGTGATGATTGTGCATAAAATGTAGTTAATACTCTTTTTACATATCATTCAGATACTAAATTAGTATCTGTTGATTTTTTGGAACAAATTAATAATTCAACAATTGCATAAACACTTCTTTCTATATTACTTTTTTATAATATATCTTTGAATCTTCTATTTTTATTTTTCTCTGATTCTGCATATTGAAAAAGTGTTATTATAATGTTTTAAAACCAATTATGCCACAATTAATACATATATTATGTTCTGCATATATATTAAATCTAATTAGATAAATTTACTTTAAATTAAATTTATTATATTATTTATTAATTATTATAATATTAAATCTTAATAATGTTTTAAACAGTGAAACTTGATGTGATTTTCTACAATTTTACTTTTAAAATTTTTTTTGGCTAAAGTAAAGGATTTATTTGTCAAGCCACCTACATGAAAAACTCATTATATAACTCATCTACAAATGAATGAAATTGCATATCATGTAAAATTCCAAACAAAATGTGATAGAATAGTTGGTTTAAAATGGTTTTTTACACTAAAGAACATATTCAATATTGGCAAGATTTTACAAATTTGAATATGAAAATGATCTGAAAAATATAGCAATAGATGCTTTTTATTCAATTTTACAAAATACACAACAATTAGAAACTATTATAATCTACACAAATTTTATTTCAACTTATATTAAATGGATTTCTTTCAATAATAAAACAAACCAGTTTTTTTTATTTGTTGAACAAGATTAACAAATCTTACAGCTTATTTTGAATCTAATCGAATTGTTACTCATTTTGGTATGAAACTTAAAGATCTTATAACATGACTTCATTTTAATTCATCAGATTTTTATTTTATTTTTCAAGTAGCATTTTAGGTAGCATACAAAAAATTTGAATTACACATTCCAAATCATCCAACTCGTTTATTATTTTGTGTAATTCGTATTTTTGATCCTAAATACATGCATTTAGAAAATAATATTCAAAGACATAGCATTTATCAATATTCAATTATTAATGAACTTAATAATCCTTTTAATGATTTATTACATGAATGGGATATTTATTATGAATTAGAATTTGATGAAAATACAAATGAAAGTAAATTGGATATTTATTGGAATAATTTAGCAACGCATTTACCAATTCTTTATCAAATATCATTGAATCATATTTGGTTACCTATATCAAGCTATGCTGTTGAGCGTAGTTTTTCTTTATACAATATGTTATTAAATAATAATCATCAAAACTTATCAAAAGAATCAATTAAACAACTTAGACCACTAATAAATTGCAACTGAATGTAACTGAAAAATTATTAATGGTCCTTGAATTATGAAAATAGCTGTAATATGATGTATTTTAATTGAAATAAATAATTTGGTAATTTTTTTTGTTAATTGTAATAAATTATAATATATAATTATCACAAAATCAATAAAAATAATCATTGTCCCTGATTGAAGCTAGCCTTAGTTGGAATATTAGCATCGTCGCACAGAGTTAGCAAAATCCTGATATTTTTCGATACACAACATATATAGGAAAAATCTAAAACGCGTCCAGTTTATAATAAAAAGTGCTAAATATGTTAACACGTTCTTCGGCACCAAAGAAAAAAAGTTCAGACTCTAGTTCTAAAAACTCATCTTCTTCACCTATTGGACCGCAGGAAGCGATATTTCGTAATTTCCGTCTTCGTCGAATTGTTAAAGAAAATCATGGTCATGATATCAATCAATTGGCATTCTTTTTCAACTTAAATCATTATACTGCACCAGTTGGTGCTCAATACAAGAAAAAATTTAATAAACTTGGATACGTTGAAAGAAATGTTAGAGACACCAGCAACATTTTGGCTAGTGTTGGTGATATACAGGTGAATAATACCTGTAATTTGATTTTTTTATTTATTATCATGCAAGTAATTAATGAGATTAATTAATCACATTTTTTTATAGGCGAATATTTATGACAATGAGCATTGTGGTGACCATTTAGATATCATGTCAAATTTCGTTGTAGGAGAAAATATGAATTTGGAGTCTGGCGTAAGTGACTCTAAAATCGAACCTTTTGAATTTGTTATTGAAAAGCGTATTTTAAACATCTAAACATCACAGGAATTAATGACGTGCTGTTGGATACATCGAGACGATGATGCGTTACTTGCTTTAGGTGGAAAATCACGTGTCATATATATTATCTCTATTGCACTTTCCAGTACTCTGAGAACGTTATGGGGGCATACCGGTATATATTCTCTTTTTTTTTTATATTTTATCTTTTTCTCAATTATCCATAAATGTTTTTTAGATTGTATTACGGATATCCAAAAACAACCTAAAGACGATCAACACCTATTGTCCGCATCAAAAGACGCAACTGTACGACTGTGGCATATTGATAGTGGCCAGTGTCTATATGTGTTTCAAATTAAGGCCTCAGTGACAGTGAGTTCACACTCTTATAATTTCTTGAAGGTTTGTTTAATTTTATTGCTTAATAAATCTTTTGTTCTTATAGTGCTGGCATCCATCTGGTCAATCATTCCTGACTGGAAATTATAATGGAGAGATTAGAATTTGGCAAACTCCAGATTTAATAACACCACCGACCGAATCATTAAATATAACCGAAAACGATGTTGAAACGCGAAGTAGAAAATGTCATTCAAGTCAAATAGGTTATTATTTTCGATTTCTCTCTTTGTGATGAAGAATTACACTTGTAAAAAAATATTTATCGATATATTTCTATAGATTGCATACGATTTGCTAATCAAAATGTAATATCCAAATCTTTAAGTGGTAAAATCGAATATTGGAATTATGATACACTTGAGATAATAAAAGCTTTTTCCATCAAGAATAATTCTCCAAACAGGTCAAGATTTGACGTGAGGTAAGATCATTTTCATTTATCATTCTTTTTAAATATTTCGAATCTTTATAGTAAATTCGTATTTTGAAAAATTAGTCTTGACGAAAAATTTTTCTGCGTGGGTACAAGTAATGGAAGTGTCAACATTTATAATATTTTGAATGGTAAACTAATTTCAGAACTTAGTCATCGAAGATCAACAAAGGCTGTTAGATGTTGTGCATTTTCCAGAGATTGCAAGTAAGTGTAAATGACCAAAAAGTATTTTGTTTTTATTGGTAATAAAAATTCATGTTATTACTTTTCATAATATTAGGCAAGTTATTGCAGCTGGAGAAGATGGTTACATATGGAGATATGATTATATTAGTGACGAAACACTAGAAATTAATTAATTAATCAATTAACTAATTAATTACAATGCATAGTCAACTTTTTGCAATTAAATAATTCATAAACTTCTTTTATTGAGGATATCTATCTTTAATATCTTTCCATTGTTTCTATAAAATAGATTAAAATTGAGATTAATTGATATTATAAATATCCAATTGTATGTATATTATAAAAAATTAAAATTCATACGTACACCCTTATTCATTCTGTCCCACCATCTATCTGTGGCAGTATCAAAGGCCATTTCAAAAGCAAATGCTGTTGCGAAAATTCCGACCAAAAAAACCGAGTTTCTTCTAAAAATTGTTCGATATACACCTCGAGAGAATCTAATAGTAGTTTGATAATAAAAATTAATTTTAAATAGTTAACTATTTAAACGAATTTTTATACTTACTTTTCAAGACCGTTGTTTCTAGCGTCCATTATGAAAGTTGAAATAACAAATTCTTTAAAGAGGTAAAATAATAATAATCTTTTCAATAATTTTTTTTTTTAGAACTCTTAAATATCTGATCGGCATTCTTAATAATTTACCACGTGATTAAATATTTTTTGGAATGTGCATACTGTAAATGCATAAATACAAAAATTAGAAAGGAATCGCGTTTCTTTTTTTAACTTTTTTTTACTGTAACGGGTTTTTTTTTTTTTTTTATAAAAAAAAAATAAGGAAAACTTTCACGAACATCATGACTGAGGCTAATAGTGGAGGGAAACCTAAGTTAGTTATAGATCGTGAAAAGGTATTTTATCTGATACTTTAACAGATCTATTTAAACTGGTCGTATGAAATGACCCTTTATTAAACATTATATTTTGTAGACAGTCCCATTTCTATTACGAATGTTTTATCGGTTGAATTATCACCATAGGTTTTTTTTTTTATATATATATATATATTTTTAATTATATCGTAGAGATCAATTCTATTTTCTTTTTATTTTTGTATAGGATCGATGATTTTACACCTGAACATTTGCCTACCGAGGATGAAGTGCAGATATATACTTGGTATATGATTTTTACATAATTTTTATTTTTAATAGCTCTTTCTCATATTCCTTCGTAAAAAATAATATAGGAAGGATGCCACGTTAAAGGAAATTTCTAATTTAATTAAAGAAGTAGTTCAAGATGCTAATAGACCAAATGCAAGATTATCATTTAAATTAGTGTATATTGATAATTTACGTGGTAAATATGCATTTAAAGAATTAGGTACAATTCACAATGTAACTTCATCGACAACATCAGAACAAGATGGAGTAAATCTTGATGATGCGAGATTTGTTATTGGGGATTTTATAGATGTAGCAATATTTTTTGGACCACCACCAAGAACTGTTGAAAGAAGGGGGAGTGTTCTAAGAGACAGAAATAGAGAGAGAGAAAGAGAAAGAGGCGGAAGAAATTATCGTGGTATTGGTGCTGGCAATGATAGAGATAGAGATCGAGATAGGGAAAGAGATAGGGAAAGAGATCGAGAAAGGGATAGAAATGGTATGAGAATGGATAGGGACAGAAGAGATGATCGAAGAGATAATAGAAACTTTAGAGATAGAAGACGTTAATTTATAAATTTTTGATCTATTGGATGGATATTCTGAACCATTCCCAATGTTACTTTCTCGGGAATTGTTTTTGATTATGATATTAATTTGGTTAACTTTGTAAAAAAAAATTTTCTTTTTGCTTTCCTTTTTTTTTTTTTTTTTTTTTTTATGAAAGTAGACTTAAAGCTTCAAATTCTTTATACCCCTTATTTTTGTTTTTTTTCTATCATTCTTCGAAATCTTCCAATTAAATTAAAATTTGGTGTACGAAAAAAATAAATTGTCTAAAATTACTTTGCAAATTATTTTATTTTTTTTTTGCTTAATAAAATAAAAATAAAAAATTTTTTAATGTTTTATTTTCATATCTTCTTTTGTTTGGCCTTTACGAATACCAGTTAGATTCCATTTAGACTGTAAATAATTTATAATGTTAACAAAAATCTATATTTCTTTTTAAACCGACCGTAAGCAACTCACATCATCAGTCCAACAAAGAGCATATGTACCAACAGGAATTATAATGCAACCGATAATTCCTGTAATAATAGTTCTTCTTGTCCAACGAAAATTTGTATGTACATTAGTACGCATAAAATACCATCTTTCAATTGCCGCATTTTTAATTAATACTAATTAATGTTATACAATAAAAAAGTGTTAGCAAAGGTTAATTTATGAAAGTAAAGAGAAATTATTTTTTTTAAAGGAAAAAAAAATTGTTTTTACAATTATCATGATCCCCTGCCATCTTTTATGTATAAAAGCGAAAAAATAATATTTTTTTTTTGAACCTATTTTTTTTATGATTTTATTTATACCTTTCTAAAAAATTTTAAAACGTGACAGTCAGAAAAAATTAAAAAATGGTGGCTCATTTTTTTATAATCGATGCCTTATTGGTTCCTTCATCACGTTACTGCGAGAAAAAAAAAAGATTACATAATTAATCTAGTCGCAATGTTGATTCAGGAGTATTTTTTTTGATTCATGTTGAATTTCTTGTCTTGTAATAATTCTTGTCTTTTTGTAGTTAAAATTATTGTATCTTCAATCTTATTTGTTAATTTTACAGCTCCAAAGTCAATAGCATCTGTAGAATTTAATTCTTTTACAATCTGCGGAGTTATTTTTCAACTCTGATGTTTTAGCCAGCACACATTAACCAAAAGGTATATTTACTGTGCTATCAGGATTATTATGCTATTTATTGTTTCTTTTTAGAAAAGTGCGTCAGGAGACATGTTACGAAGATAAAAAAAATTTTGTTTAAATAAATTATAGTTACTTGAATCAAAAAAAGGACTTCGGATGATCGACTTTGTACTACCAAGTCTATAACTTTGAATTTTTATTATAAATAGAAAATGTAAAAGGGGATTTCAGTTTTATATAATACAGTCAGACCTCCATATAATCACCTAATCGGTTTCGCAAAAATTGGTGATTTTATAGAGGTGTGACTGTAAAAAGGTAACTTCTATATAATCACCACTATATTAAAAATCATGTGTAGTAACTATATGGGTCATGGACTAGCAAAATGCCCCTCCGGTAAATTATTGCTTTTTTGAGAAATCAGAATTTAACATTTTATCATTTTCATTACTTACAGTTTATTTTTAGAACAAAATGCAATATGATGATCAATTTATATGTAATGTGATACAAATTTTTATATTTTATGTCTCCTTAAACATTAAAAATGCATATTATTCCAATTTTAGATTGTCGATCTTTTTTGAAAAAGAAAGTTTTATATGAATATTTCGATAATTTATTATACGTTTATGTTCAAAAAATTAGATTATCATATAGTTAAGCATATTCAGCTTATATAAAATCATAAAAAAAATATTTTTGACAAAAGGCACGGAGGGGCATTTTGCTAGTCCATGACCCATATAAAGGTTTTATTATAAATGCTATATAAGTGCACATATTAATTGTTAACAAGTTTATCATTCATAAATGCTTTATTAAATTGTATATATTTATTATTTATTAATACAATCAAAACACTATATAAATGCCATTAAAAACTATTTTTTTTTTTTTTGCAAGTGATGTGCAGGCTGAAGGTGAGTTAGTCAACGTAAGAACATATTTTGCAATATTCGATACACAACACTAGACTCCTTAGGTCTCAACACCAGGGCACATAGGCCTCAATGAGGTAACCTTCTACATACAACCACCCCCTAACTGTGCCACTCATATTAAGGATTTTTCCTAGAATAGACCTTATGTGTCTGTATGAGGTAACTTTTTGCACAAGTACTTTTAGCAGTCAGAGTTCTGCTAAATTTGGATAGAGAAATCACTTCAGGCCATATAGGAACGTCACTACCTATATTTTATCCAACTAATGCCACAGGGTTCATGGGATAGTATCACAAGATTTGCTCAAATGGTAAACTAGCGAGATGACCATTAGGGTTTCTCAAAATCGAATCAAATCAAATATTTAAGCAATTTGAATTTGATTTGATTTTTTCAAATCGAATCGA